TATATAGTATATATATATATATATATATATATATATATATATATATATATATATATATATATATATATGGTTTCGTTGGTTATATAAAAACTTTTGGTAACGTGCTCAATGGAAAACCAGAGTATATTTAATGACTAATGACCGAATGACTATAGACTAAAACTTACAAGGTTATATATGTATACAAGTGGATGAGACTTAAGAAACTTAATCCTATTTACAAACCAAGCGATTTAATTAACATTTTTTTTTCTTTCCGCGTCCTGTCAGCTTATCACATAACATGTTAATTATATATTATTAGCAGTCAAGGGCAAATTTGTAACAATACCTACGCATGGAATGTTGACATATTCTTTCGAACGCAATAAATGCAAATTAAGTTCCTACATGTAGATCCAAATTAGGTTAAGATAAGTAAAGAATGTTCTTCCTGTAGACGTAGGAACGCTTGGGAACGTAGGAATCGTCATTTAAACTAGTTATTTGCTTCCTTTCAAATGTTATATATTTTTATATATAATCATCTATGTAGTTGTTATAGTCATTGTCGCAGTATGTATCTGAAATAAAGTTGTGTGAAATTTACTGGTTGTCACGATTGAACGAAGAATAGAATACAGTCCCAAGTTAACGACCGTGTCAAGTCCGTAACCTTTGTTTACATTTTGAACTGCTATATTTGTAAAATAAGACGTATACCAACTGAATATCTAACACTTTTCTGGTTAAGTTCGCTATTGTAAATGAATTTAAACTAGAGTACGTTTCAATTCAAAAAAGTTTAAAAGATGCAAAATTTGCGCAATGTTTGTATCTGTGGGTCCCCCTTTGTTATGAGCAGACCTGACGTCACGCGCAGAACGGACTTGACATGGTCTTTAATACTAGCGGGGTTTCCACAACAAAGCCTTCAGAACTAAGCTCAAGCACTGCTATCACGCGTGTACTGAACGACTTCCTGCGTCTGATACACATGGCGTTATCTTCGTTCCCAGAGCCTTTAGGTCTACTGCGCGGTACGAGATTATAAGAGCGACCTGACGTGTCTTCGAATTGATCAAAAGCTGCTGAAGTCGTTGGTGGTAAAAGCAAAAATTTCAAGCAAGGCTTTCCAGGTAAATGTGAGTTTTGATAAATATAAATAATTTTATGTAATATCAGGCTAGACGAATTCATGCAGCAGTTATGATAGAGTGTTGATCAGTCTGTAGAAAGGTTTATGTACATGGAATTTTAAAGCGAAATTTTGTACACATAGCTTAGACCTAACAACATGCAAGAATAGGCCTACGATAGGAAGCAATTATACGTTTTTTGCGGGAATCATAATCGGCAAAGGGTCATAGGCCTTCCAGCAGGAATCGAATATGGGGCCTACTGTATTGTCACTAAACTAACAGAGATATGAGACTGATTGTATATCTTGTTTCCAATTCGTCGTGGACGAAGGAGCTTTCGAATTGCAGCTCACCCCCAGTCAGTGTGGTCCAGTTAAATTAAGCAGCTGACATTTAAAAATCGAGCAAATTGTTAGGCCAAACCAGAGAAAATGAATTACAAGTTGACATTTGTGTTTATTAAAATAAAATTTCATACAATAGAGCACGGTATCTTAACAGAAGGGCGATGTATTTTAACATTTTTATTGGAGGCTGCGTGGCCAAGATTTCTCCCGTCCCCATGTTACCCCAGCAAGACTGACATCAGATGTGTGGCACTGCTGTTATGACTCCATTACTTATCAAACCTTGTTTTTATACTCAAAACTCAGTTTATATGTTGAATATAATATAAAAAGTACTGTTTGAGAATGCAGGAAATTAAGCTAAGCTCCATAAACTCAAAAATAGGAAAATGTTCTGGGAGTGAATCCCATACCCCCTCCTCTTAAGGACTGGCACCTGTACAATTCAACATCTTTTATCTGGACTTTAAAAATAATTTTACGACAATAACTTGCATGTGTGTCAATAGACACATATTTTTTATTTGCTTGGGACGTTGTTTTACAAAACAGTAAAGTGAATACCGCATTGCATGATAAGCAAGTTGAAACTTCTAGAACAGAAAAACCCGAATCGTAATCAAGATTAGATTGGCTAATATTAATAGCCCAATTTATTTGTTAATAATAATTTTTGCTTCTTTTTCTACAGTTCCAGACAAGATGCACACAATTGTACAACTATTCTTAATATCACTTGCCTGCCTCGCAATTTCCGCTCATATTAAAAAAAAATCGTATACCCTGAAAGTCACTGAAGATGTGTGTTTGGAACGAGGCTCCAGCAATTACAACTACCTTCCATACCTCCTCATTGGAACCCATCCTGGATACCCATTGAAAAGAAGTTTACTGAAATTCCAGAACATCCCATGCGAATGCACCTTTCCTTTAAAGGCAACCCTGCATATCTATTTCGTATATGCTCATAAGGCGAGCTTTATGTCCGTCGCTCAAGTCCCTGCTGTAAAAAGATACCTAGTAGCGTATACTGTACTCAAGTCATGGACCGAATCGCAAGCGACTAGCACGAAACGAAATAAGTGGGCCAGGTGGGACAACCAATGGTTGAAATTGGGCACGGACGCAGAATCACTCGCAACCTCTTCTACCACTGTGACACCGACACCAGGTTTGAAATTAATTTTAAATATTCAATCACCACAAAGGACTTTCAGGAACTGCATAACTCCGCCAGCAAATTCAGTCAAGCAACCGTGCATTTAGCCTAATTTCTCACGAAGGTCCAAATCCGCCATTTTCAGTACTATTTTATAAACAACGTAAAAATCTAAGCAATGTGAAAATAATTTTTCAAATATTTAACTATAAATCGATTCATAATGATTATACTTACAACTATAATTATAGAAAGTTTCATTTTCACTG